CTATATTTTCTACCTTTTTAAAACAAGGAAATGTGTAACATGTTGCATGTTTTCTGTCTACAAAATAATTTGTTTTCCATGATAAATATAGGAAGTTAAAATAAGAAGTATGATTTCTGTGCTTGTCTTATCTGCCAAAGCTGTATCAAGGTCAAGGTCTACATTAAGATTTGACCTCAAAATTCTGAGTCATACCAAGATAACCATAGAAAAAAATTAAAAACATCGTCTTGAGGCAAATATGAATGCATTACTTCTGTTTTAAATAATGTCAGTCTCCAATTATATTTCAAATATTTGATTAATTTTGTTTTTCATGTACATTAAAACATATATAGGACTGAGGTAGAAAGAAAAATTTATAGGCTTACATAAAAAATTGAATCATGTATCCCTAATATTGAGAGTACTAATAATGTTTTTATGGCAACGTTTATGTGTCTCGTCAAATAAACTTCCCCCTGCCTTTAATACAATTAGGTAGTTATTAAAAAAACAATAAGGAAAATGTAATCTATACCAGGCACTAATGTTCATATTATTTTCTTATTCTGACAGTTAAATTCTTAAAACAATATTTAGGTTAATTTATTATAACTTAAGGAAGTTTACAATAAGTAAAAACATATACCTGTTCTTTACTTAAGATCAACTCAAATCAAAGAGGGATTTCAGCCAATGAGATGCAATGAGGGATTATAGAAAAATTAACAGAGGAAGTACAGAATACCTTAAATAGGTAATTATGACCTAACTTATATTTGTGAAATGCAACTATTAAGAGTAAATGTTTATAAGGGATATGCTAATTACTTTTACTCTATTCTACCCACTAGAAGCAAGTCACTATGTGCATAATGGTTACTTAGGGAAGGAGAGAGGGGTCTGTGCTTGGCATGGCTTGTGTAGGAGAACCTGTGAAGTGGCTGACAAATTTCTTTTCCTTGACCTAGTGATAATTGCCTTATAATACTTGATTAAGCTATATGTTTCCATTGATTTTATTTTTCCGTGTTTTATGTTACAATAAATATATTTTTAAAAGTTGTTTTAGAACTGAGTGCTGAAAAACATAAAAACTAAGTGGGCTTCTCAAATTGTTTTAGGGGCTTTACGTTACAAATAGAAAACTGGGGAAACTTGATAAGTATTAAAAGCAGAATTTAGGAGTACAACTGGTGAAAATATCATACCAGGGAAAAATAAACTCTGATGAAGTTCACAGAAAAAAGTTATATAATGCATTAATATGCAGAATTTTCAAGTCCATGGACACATCATTGTATCCTTATACATAAAGTGAGCCAGAGGAAAAGTATGTGTCATGAATATGAAGATGCACCTGGCATAAGAACACTTTTATCATTAGCAGCATCTTCAGCTTGTAAAGAAGAAGCAACACTTCACGGATATGATTCATGGGAATTATTTGAGTGTTGACTTTTCTGAACATGCTGGAGGGGATGTGAGTAAGAGAATCTTGTTTCAAATATGCGTGTGTGTGTATATATATATATATATTTATATTTTTATAGATCAAAGCTAAGTCAAAAGCAACAGTATGTGGCTTCCCTGGTGGCGCAGTGGTTGAGAGTCCACCTACCAATGCAGGGGACACGGGTTCGTGCCCCGGTCCGGGGGCCTGTGAGCCATGGCCGCTGAGCCTGTGTGTCCGGAGCCTGTGCTCCGCAGCGGAAGAGGCCACAATAGTGAGAGGCCCGCATACCGCAAAAAAAAAA